CTTAATTTCTCTTTCTGATCTTTTGTTGTTAGTGTATAGGAATGCAAGAGATTTCTGTGCATTAATTTTGTGTCCTGCAACTTTACCAAATGCATTGATTAGCTCTAGTAGTTTTCTGGTAGCATCTTTAGGATTCTCTGTGTATAGTATCATGTCATCTGCAAACAGTGACAGCTTTACTTCTTCTTTTCCAATTTGGGTTCCTTTTATTTTTTTTTCTTCTCTGATTGCTGTGGTTAAAACTTCCAAAACTATGTTGAATAATTGTGGTGAGAGTGGACAACCTTGTCTTGTTCCTGATCTTCGATGAAATGGTTTCACTTTTTCACTGTTGAGAATGATGTTTGCTGTGGGTTTGTCATATATGGCCTTTATGATGTTGAGGTAGGTTCCCTCTATGCCCACTTTCTGGAGAGTTTTTATTATAAATGGATGTTGAATTTCGTCAGAAGCTTTTTCTGCATCTTTTGAGATGATCATATGGTTTTTATTCTTCTATTTGTTAATATGGTGTATCACATTGATTCTTTATTGAAGAATTCTTGAATCCCTTGGATAAATCCCACTTGATCATGGTGTATGATCCTTTTAATGTGTTGCTGGATTCTATTTGCTAGGATTTTTGCATCTATATTCATCAGTGATATTGGTCTGTAATTTTCCTTTTTTGTTGTATCTTTGTCTGGTTTTGGTATCAGGGTGATGGTGACCTCGTACAATGAGTCTGGGAATCTTCCTTCCTGTGCAATTTTTTGGAAGAGTTTGAGAAGGATGGGTGTTAGCTCTTCTCTAAATGTTTGATAGAATTCACCTGTGAAGCCATCTGGTCCTGGACTTTTGTTTGTTGGAAGACGTTTAATCACTGTTTCAATTTAATTACTTGTGATGGGTCTGTTTATATTTTCTGTTTCTTCCTGGTTCAATCTTGGAAGGTTATACCTTTCTAAGAATTTGTCCATTTCTTCCAGATTGTCCATTTTATTGGCATAGATTTGCTTGCAGTAGTCTCTTAGGATGCTTTGTATTTTCATGGTGTCCGTTGTAACTTCTCCTTGTTCATTTCTAATTTTATTGATTTGAGTCCTCTCCCTCTTGATGAGTCTGGCTAAAGGTTTATCAATTTTGTTTATCTTCTCAAAGAACCAGCTTTTAGTTTTATTGATCTTTGTTATTGTTTTCTTTCTACTTCATTTATTTCTGCTCTGATCTTTATGATTTCTTTCCTCCTACTAACTTTGGGTTTTGTTTGTTCTTCTTTCTCTAGTTCCTTTAGGTGTAAGTTTAGATTGTTTATTTGAGAATTTTCTTGTTTCTTGACATAGGATTGTATTGCTATAAACTTCTCTCTTAGAACTGCTTTTGCTGCATCCCATAGGTTTTGGATTGTCATGTTTTTGTTGTCATTTGTCTCTAGGTATTTTTTGATTTCCTCTTTGATTTATTTAGTGACCTGTTGGTTATTTAGTAACATATTGTTTAGCCTCCATGTGTTTGTGTTTTTTATGGTTTTTCCCCTGTAATTGATTTCTAATCTCATAGCGTGGTGGTCGTAAAGGATGCTTGATATGATTTCAATTTTCTTAAATTTGCTGAGGCTTGATTTGTGACCCAAGCTGTGATGTATCCTGGAGAATGTTCTGTGTGCACTTGAGAAGCAAGTGTAATGTGCTGTTTTTGGATGGAATAAATATCAGTTTATTTATTATAAATACGATAAATATTCTTATAAATACCATTTTAATCTGGTTGGTCTGTTGTGTCATTTAAAGCTTATGTTTCCTTATTAATTTTCTGTCTGGATGGTCTGTCCATTGGTGTAGGTGAGGTGTTAAAGTCCCCCACTATTATTGTGTTACTGTTGATTTCCTCTTTTATAGCTGTTAGCAGTTGCCTTATGTATTGAGGTGCTCCTCTGTTGGGTGCATATATATTTATAATTGTTATATCTTCTTCTTGAATTGATCTCTTGATCATTATTTAGTGTCCTTGTCTCTTGCAACATTCTTTATTTTAAAGTCTGTTTTATCTGATATGAGTATTGCTACTCCAGCTTTCTTTTGATATCCATTTGCATGTAATACCTTTTTCTGTCACCTCACTTTCAGTCTGTTTGTGTCTCTAGGTCTGAAGTGGGTCTCTTGTAGACAGTATATATATGGGTCTTGTTTTTGTATCCATTCAGCGAGCCTGTGTCTTTTGGTTGGAGCATTTAATCCTTTTACAGTTAAGGTAATTATTGATATGTATGTTCCTATTACCATTTTCTTAATTTTTTTGAGTTTTTTTTTTGTTGGTCCTTTTCTTGTGTTTCCACTTAGAGAAGTTCCTTTAGCATTTGTTGTAGAGCTTGGTTTGGTCGGGCTGAATTCTCTTAGCTTTCCCTTTTCTGTGAAGATTTAACTTCTCCATCGAATCTGAATGAGATCCTTGCTGGGTAGAGTAATCTTGGTTGTAGCTTTTTCTTTTTTCCGTTCATCACTTTAAATATATCGTGCCACTCTCTTCTGGCTTGTAGAGTTTCTGCTGAGAAATCAGCTGTTAACCTTATGGGAGTCCCCTTGCATATTATTTGCTGTTTTTCCCTTGTTGCCTTTAATAATTTTTCATTGTCTTTAATTTGTGTCAGTTAGATTACTGTGTGTCTCAGCATGTTTCTTTTTGGGTTTATCCTGCCTGGGAGTCTCTGTGCTTCCTGGATTTGGGTGACTATTTGCTTTCCCATGTTAGGGAAGTTTTCCAGTATAATCTCTTCAAATATTTTCTCGGGTCCTTCCTCTCTCTCTTCTCCCTCTTGAACCCGTATAGTGTGAATGTTGGTGTGTTTAATGTTGTCCCAGAGGTCTCTTAGGCTGTCTTCATTTCTCTTCATTTTTTTTCCTTTATTCTGTTCCATGGCAGTGAATTCCCCCATTCTTTTTCCAGGTCACTTATCTGTTCTTCTGCCTCAATTATTCTGGTATTTATTCCTTCTAGTGTATTTTTCATTTCAGTTATGGTGTTGTTCATCTCTGTTTGTTTGTTCTTTAATTCTTCTAGGTGTTTGTTCTTTAATTCTTCTAAACCTTTGTTAAACATTTCTTGCATCTTCTCGATCTTTGCCTCCATTCTTTGTCCGAGGTCCTGGCTCATCTTCACTATCGTTATTCTGAATTCTTTTTTGGAAGATTGCCTATCTCCACTTCATTTAATTGTTTTTCTGGGGTTTTATCTTGTTCCTTCATCTGGTACATAGTCCTCTGCCTTTTCATTTTGTCTCTCTTTCTGTGAATGTGGTTTTCATTCCACAGTCTGCAGGATTTTAGTTTCTTCCTTCTGCCAAGTGTTATGTATTAATTAATTCTCATTGCAAAGAGTGTGTACTATTATATAAATTATCAAATAAATTATATGTTAAAGAGACTATCTAATTGGACCTAGGTTGTTAGTGACTTCAGGCACATGGCAGAAGCAATGGATAGAGATGTTACCAGTAATGTAAATAAAAGAGCAGTAGATGTAATGCTAGAGGGAGAAATGAGATAGGAGTGCAACTCACTTTACATTCTCTGTTGCTTGGGTTCGAGCTCTACTTTAACTGTTTTCAAGCTATATATATATGCTTATAGAATGAGTAGCCCTTTTGTGTTAGGGTAGTGAATTTTGAGTAAAATATTTAGCAAAATGTACCTATTGAAATAGGTTAAATAATGATATATGTACACATATATTATGGTATATGTATATGTTTTGCTAATATGTAGAAGTTGTTTCTATAAGAATATGCAAGAAGCTGGCAACCATAGTTTACTGGGGGATGATGTGGAAGAGAGACTTACTTTTGTCAGTCTATCCTTTTGCAGACTTTTTGCTTTGTATTTTGAAATACCTATTGGTTCACAAGAAGTGGCAAAAATAGTAGAGAATTCCCCTTACCTTTTTCACAGCTTCCCACAATGCTAATATCTTATATAACTACAGTTCTTTGTGGACTTTGGAATTTTGTACTGTCTGCTTATTTTATGTAGTTTAAGGCTACTTTTTAAGAAATTTTAAGATTATTAATAGTAGATACGATTATTTTGATGTTGGAAGACAAGTAACTTGACCTTTGTATATAAATGCAATAAACTTTTAAAATTTCAATTATTAACATGTTTTTAATTAGATATTTCAAATTAAATATCTGGTTACAAAATCTTTATACCTTGGATTGTAGAATGAGAGATGACTAGCTTTAAATAGAATATTTGATATGTTTTTTTAATTTTGGGGAAATTTTAAATTACACTGAAAACTTAAATTTAGTTGGAATGGGAAACAGGAATATTTTTTCTTAATAGGGAGCTACCTATGTTTTGATATAATGATCCTTTAGAGTAATGTTATTGTCTATGGCCTTTGGTTAGCTTTACATGGACTTGTTTCATGTATTGTAATAACTAAGTCTCTTTTTTATGGAATCTTAAGATGGACATATATTAAACTGAATTCTGTTACTTTAAATAACGGTTAATTGATGTAATCGCAGTAGTAAATAGTACAGCATTAAAATTGGGGATATTCTTTTTATTTTTTAAATTTCTTATAAATTTGTTTATTTTTACTTATTTATTATTTTTGGCTGTGTTGGGTCTTCATAGCTGCACACGGCTTTCTCTAGTTGCCACGAGTGGGGGCTACTCTTTGTTGTGGTACGTGGGCTTCTCACTGCAGTGGCTTCTCTTGTTGCGGAACACGGGCTATAGAGTGTGCGGGCTTCAGTAGATGCAGTGCGTGGGCTCAGTAGTTGTGGCTCGTGGGCTGTAGAGTGCAGGCTCAGTAGTTGTGGCTCACGGGCTTCGTTGCTCCACAGCATGTGGGATCTTCCCAGACCAGGGCTCGAACTCGTGTCCCCTGCATTGGCAGGTGGATTCTTAACCACTGCTCCACCAGGGAAGCCCGGAGATATTCTTTTTAAAAGTCATTATTTCAAAACATCAGTGTTTGAGCTTAAAAATCCTTTTGTATTTTCTCTTTTAAAGGTGCATCTGAACTGTTTACTCTTTGTTCATCGATTAGCAGAAGAGGCTCGGACAAATGCTTGTGAGAATAAGTGTGGAGTCATTAAAAAGGAGCATGTACTGGCTGCAGCAAAGGTAAGATTTGAATTTCTTTTCTTGAGCACAGTTGCCTTAAAACACCACCTAGTTCGTCACCTCTGCCTGGTTTAGATTCCTTATTCAGTTTTGTTGACTGAGTTGATGCTTGGCTTTTCACCGGTTTTAATTAGAGTTATGTTTTTTTTATTATGTATATTATGGATTTCTGATGGAAATATTCATGGCCATTGCCTTATTGCCATTTAGGGGAAAATAAGTGTTTGACTGCTAATCTGTAGGATATGCAGTAGCCTATATATAGCTGAGGTTTATTACATTGAAATTTATCAAAACTTTCTTCTTGATCATTTTAAGTTTACCTAATGATTTTTCTACATTTGTTTTGAGATTTGAGTGACTTCTGAATCATATTGCTTATATAAGCAGAGAAGATTGCTTCTTACTGATATTTCTGTATAATGTAATAGTATGATGCCTAGGGCAGAGTTTTTTCCATATATGTTTCCAAGATTATTTTCACTTGATGTTAATAGATGCCCCAATATAAAAGGCTTCTGGGGTCAGATAAGTTTATATAACCTAACATACTATACCTCCTTGAATAGTCATAGTGTTACGTATAGAGAGCTTGTTTCTGTAAGAATATGCAAGAAATTGGCACATGGTTGACTGGAGGATAACGTGTGAGAGAGACTTATTTTTGACAGTTTACCTCTTTATAGGCTCTTTTTGTTTAACATTTAATATTTTTGAAATAATTATAGACTCACAGAAGGTGCAAAAATAGTGTAGAGTTCCACTGTACCTTTTATCCAACTTCCCACAACGGTAACGTCTTTATATAACTATAGTTATGTAAAGTTATGAAAGGTTATGAGAAATATACCAGTAATTTGTTGAACTCTGTTTAATTTAGTATTTTGTAAATTTGGGTGTATAATATACTTAGAATTTTGTAAATTCATTTGAGTACATAGTATTCTTTGGCAGTCCCTATACTAACTTCTTGTAGAACAGAGAAGTACTGGCCTAGGTTATAAACCTATTTGGTGACCTCTGTGGAAGCCTAGAAATGGGCATGCCTTGGCATTTTTTAAGGGGCTTTAAATTCTCTTACAACTATAAACATTTCAACGTTTCTGTACTATTAAAGTTGATATAAGTGCTTTCTGCAGGTAAAGCAAGGCTTAAGAACTTGAAGAGTGTATGTGTGTGTCTTAAATTTAGGGTTGGTTTGTTTTTATTAATTTATAAGTGTACTTACCTAAAAGTAGGTAAGTTCTTTAAAATATTTTTGGATATCTTCTGGTCTCTAATGTTCCTTGTCTTTTACAACTTAAGATCTCATTTTGTTTAAAATGAGATTAAAAATTATCTTAAAAATTATCTACCTAACAAGCTTTTCAGCTTGAGATGACTAGTCTTGGTCTCTGATATAATTCCAGCCTAAAGACAAGAAATTTGGTGTTGCAGCGGATTTGTATTGCTTTATAGTTGTTAAATGCCTGATTCATAATAGGATTTTCAAGTTTTGGAACATTCCTTAACTCCCCGAATTACTAAATTGTCTATAAACCTCAAGTTGGGAGCCATTAATCTGTACACTTTTGGCACAGTTGAAGAAATTAACATCTAGAAGTGACTATTATAAAACCAGATTTTGAGAATCTAGGCATGTTTCACATTCTTTGAGAGAATTACTATTACTATTTTAGAGAAGTCTAAAACCGTTTATAAGGAAAAAGATTCCCTAATCACATTCCAAATTGGGTTTTATAAATTCAGAGACTTGCATACTATACACATAGGACTTTTCAACTTTTTGTTGAGGAATTGTGTTTTATCTGGCATAGGTATAATATGAATCTTCATTTTCTCCCCCTCACAGGTAATTCTAAAGAAGAGCAGAGGTTAGAAGTCAAAGAACACATTTTTGAAAATTATATGATGTATTATGTTAGGTGGTAACAGATTGTGAAAGCACTTTTTATATAGCAGATAATATTGTGTATTAAAATATTGGCTAGCTGAAGGATGTGTGTGTTTGTATGTTTTTTACTGGTATTGAAATGTCTCAAGTATACACATAGAACTATATAAGCTTTGTTTTTGAGGAATTGTTTCATTTTAAGTGGGCTTTAGTTCATTCTACTTCCCTTTTTGTTGGTATTGCAGATGTTTTACATATCAAAAATGAAATCTTAGTGTGTGAAGTAGCTTGGAGAGATGTATTTCTTTTTTTTTTTATTTATTTTATTTTTTTGCGGTACGCGGGCCTCTCACTGTTGTGGCCTCTCCCGTTGCGGAGCACAGGCTCCGGACGCGCAGGCTCCGCAGCCATGGCTCACGGGCCCAGCCGCTCCGCGGCATGTGGGATCCTCCCGGACCGGGGCACGAACCGGTGTCCCCTGCATCGGCAGGCGGACTCTCAACCACTGCGCCACCAGGGAAGCCCGAGATGTATTTCTTAGAATTAAGTTTATAAGTATTTAGATTTAGCCACAGTTAACTATGGAATCAATTTAATCTCTGAAGGAAGACAATGTGCAGTCAAATCTAGGTGTATTTTAAATATTTTAACTGTTTAATGCTTTTGCATAAGCAATGCAGTCTACTTTTATTTAGGCCAGTAGTGTAATAATGTAATTTCTCAACTAAAAACACCAGCAGGGTGTTTTCAAAAACCCATTTCCCTCCAAAACCAAAAAAAAAAAAAAAATACAGAGCAAATTGACGTATTTTCTTCAAGTCACACAGATTTAATAGATGGGTATTTGTTTCCCCCCAAGAAATTTTTTAGAAGTTTGTCGCATATCATCTAATAGTTGTGTTTTTAACTTTTTATTTTGAAATAATTATAGATTGCAACTTGAAGTTGCAAAAGTAGTACAGAGAGTTCCACATGTACTCTATATCCAGTTTTCTCCCAGTGCCTACATCTTAAATAATTACAGTACAATATCAAAACCAGGAATTTGACTTGGTACAGTGTGTGTATAATTCTGTACCATTTTAGTACATTTGGAGATCTGTGTAACCACCACTACAGTCAAGATACAGAATTATTTCATCATCACAGACTTCTCCATCATGCTGTTCTTTTATAAATTACGCCCAGCTCCCCACGTCCACTGCACACACAACACTCCCCTTCCTATTTCCACCATCCCTAAGCCGTGGCAACCACTAAACTGTTCTCCATGTCTATAATTTTGCCATTGAGATGCAATCATACAGGTTATGACTTTTGGGAATTTGCTTTTTTCACTCAGCATAACTCTCTTGATCCTCCAGGTTGTTGGATGTAGCAATTTGTTCCTTTTTATTACTGAGTTGTCATATTCCATGGTATTTATGTACCACAGTTTGTACAACTATTTACTCATTGAGGGATATTTTGATTATTTCTAGTTTTTGGCTATCACAAATAAAGCTGTTGTGAACAGTTGTGTACCAGTTTTTATACAGGTTTCATTTCTCTGGGTTAAATGCCCAGGAATGTGATTGCTGGGTTTAATGGTAAGTATGTGTTTAGTTTTTCAAAAAGAAATGGCCAAAGTATTTTGCAGAGTGGTGTACCATTTTGTATTCCCATTAGCAGTTTGTGAGAGTCATTTTTTCCTCCTCATGAACATTTGGTATTATTTTTTATCTTAGCTGTTCTGCTATGAATGTCTAATCATGGTTTTTAATTTACATTTCCCTAATGGCTATTGATGTTGCACATATTTTCATATGTTTGTCATCCATTTTTTCTCTTTAGTAAAATGTTTCTTCATTTCTTTTGCCCATTTTCTATTTGTTTTTCTAATGTTGAATTTTGAGAGTTTTCTAGGTATAGGTCTTTGGTCAGACATGTGGGTTGCAAATATTTTCTTCTATTCTGTAGCTTGCCTTTTATCCTTTAACAGTATCTTTCGAAGGTCAATGATTTTCACTTTTGATGAGGTCCAATTTATTTTTTATTTATTTATTTTCATGCTGTTGGTGTCAGGTTTAAGAACTCTTCACCAAGCCCTACATCTTATAGATTTTCTCCTGTTCATCTTGTTTATGGTTTCCTTTGCTGTGCAAAAGCTTTGAAGTTTCATTAGGTCCCATTTGTTTATTTTTGTCTTTATTTCCATTTCTCTAGGAGGTGGGTCAAAAAGGATCTTGCTGTGATTTATGTCATAGAGTGTTCTGCCTATGTTTTCCTCTACGAGTTTTATAGTGTCTGGCCTTACATTTAGGTCTTTAATCCATTTTGAGTTTATTTTTGTGTATGATGTTACGGAGTGTTCTAATTTCATTCTTTTACATGTAGCTGTCCAGTTTTCTGAGCACCACTTATTGAAGAGGCTGTCTTTTCTCCATTGTATATTCTTGCCTCCTTTATCAAAGATAAGGTGACCATATGTGTGTGGGTTTATCTCTGGGCTTTCTATCCTGTTCCATTGATATATATTTCTGTTTTTGTGCCAGTACCATACTGTCTTGATTACTGTAGCTTTGTAGTATAGCCTGAAGTCTGGGAGCCTGATTCCTCCAGCTCCGTTTTTCTTTCTTAAGATTGCTTTGGCTATTCGGGGTCTTCTGTGTTTCCATACAGATTGTGAAATTTTTTGTTTTAGTTCTGTGAAAAATGCCATTGGTAGTTTGATAGGGATTGCACTGAACCTGTAGATTGCTTTGGATAGTACAGTCATTTTCACGATGTTGATTCTTCCAATCCAAGAACATAGTATATCTCTCCCTCTGTTTGTATCATCTTTAATTTCTTTCATCAGTGTGTTATAGTTTTCTGCATACAGGTCTTTTTTCTCCTTAGGTAGGTTTATTCCTAGGTATTATTCTTCTTGTTGCAATGGTAAATGGGAGTGTTTCCTTAATTTCTCTTTGAGATTTTTCATCATTAGTGTATAGGAATGCAAGAGATTTCTGTGAAGTCACTTTGTATCTTGTTACTTTACCAGATTCATTGATTAGCTCTAGTAGTTTTCTGGTAGCATCTTTAGGATTCTCTATGTATAGTATCATGTCATATGCAAACAGTGACAGTTTTACTTCTTCTTTTCCAATTTCGATTCCTTTTATTTCTTTTTCATCTCTGATTGCTGTGGCTAAAACTTCCAAAACTATGTTGACTAATAGTGGAGGAAGTGGGCAACCTTGTCTTGTTCCTGATCTTAGTGGAAATGGTTTCAGTTTCTCACCATTGAGAATGATGTTGGCTGTGGGTATGTCATATATGGCCTTTATTATGTTGAGGTTACTTCCGTCTATGTCTACTTTCTGGAGAGTTTTTATTATAAATGGGTTTTGAATTTTGTCAGAAGCTTTTTCTGCATCTATTGAGATGATCATATGGTTTTTATTCTTCACTTTGTTAATATGGTGTATCACATTGATTTGTGTATATTGAAGAATCCTTGCATTCCTCAATAAAGTGGGATAAAACCACTTGATCATGGTGTATGATCCTTTTAATGTGCTGTTGGATTCTGTTTGCTAGTATTTTGTTGAGGATTTTTGCATCTGTGTTCATCAGTGATATTGGACTGTAGGTTTCTTTTTTTTCTTTTTTTTTTGGTGACATCTCTGTCTGGTTTTGGTATCACAGTGATGGTGGCCTCGTAGAATGAGTTTGGGAGTGTTCCTCCCTCTGCTATATTTTGGAAGAGTTTGAGAAGGATAGTTGTTAGCTTTTCTTTAAATGTTTGATAGAATTCACCTGTGAAGCCATCCGTTCCTGGGTTTTTGTTTTTTGGAAGATTTTTAATCAAAGTTTCAATTTCAGTGCTTGTGATGGGTCTGTTTATATTTTCTGTTTCTTCCTGGTTCAATCTTGGAAGGTTATACCTTTCTAAGAATTTGTCCATTTCTTCCAGGTTGTCCATTTTATTGGCATAGAGTTGCTTGTAGTAATCTCTCGTGATCCTTTGTTTTTCTGCAGTATCAGTTGTTACTTCTCGTTTTTCATTTCTAATTCTGTTGATTTGAGTTTTCTCCCTTTTTTTCTTGATGAGTCTGGCTAACGGTTTATCAATTTTTATCTTGTCAAAGAACCAGCTTTTAGTTTTATTGATCTTTGCTATTGTTTCCTTCATTTCTTTTTCATTTATTTCTGATCTGATATTTATGATTTCTTTCCTTCTGCTAACTTTGGGTTTTGTTGTTGTTGTTGTTGTTCTTTCTCTAATTGATTTAGGTGTAAGGTTAGGTTGTTTATTTCAGATTTTTCTTGTTTCTTGAGGTAGCAGTGTATTGCTATCAACTTCCCTCTTAGAACTGCTTTTGCTGCATCCGTAGTGTTTGGGTTGTCATGGTTTCATTGTCATTTGTTTCTATTTTTTTTTTTTTTTTTTTTTTTTTTTTTTTTGCGGTACGCGGGCCTCTCACTGTTGTGGCCTTCCCCGTTGTGGAGCACAGGATGCGGACGCGCAGGCTCACTGGCTCACGGGCCCAGCCGCTCCGCAGCATGTGGGATCTTCCTGGACCGGGGCACAAACCCGTGTCCCCTGCATTGGTAGACAGACTTTCAACCACTGCGCCACCAAGGAAGCCCGGGGCTGCAGTTTTTATCTGGTGTTTGGTTGGAATAAAGTGGTTATTGTCTGAAAATGTTTTGTCTTGTTAGGATGCCCCTTGTTCTTTGGTTAGAGTAGATTTGGGGTGGTGCTTTTGTTTTCCCCCTCTTTTCTGTGGCCATTGGCATTTCTAAGTTGCCAGCTTTTCTAGTATCCAGTCTGATATAGGAAAAAAAAACAAAAAGAAAACCCAGGGAGCGCAACACTGTATTTTTCCTTTGGTCCTAAGTTTGTAGCTAGTCCCTCTGTCTTGACTTATTTTACATATATATATATATATATATATATATATATATAAAATATGTTTACTCTATCTTCTTGAAAATAGGAGTCCTAATTGTTATTT